GATGAGGCATTTTAATTAGCAGGTTAAAGTGAATTGAACAATTTATGATATCTACTCCTGAGTAGTCCAACTGCTTTATTTTCTTTTTGGTCAGCTTATTTGAGACCAAGAATTGTCTCAAATTTGCTTTTACTATTTGCCAAAAAGACTTTGTATTCAAAATGCAAGCTATCACTTAGAAACTACATTGGGGGCAGAAAATTATTCAATAGCATCATAGGGGTAGCTCAGTGGTTTGAGCATTGGCCTGCTAAACCCAGGTTTGTGAGTTCAATCCTTGAGGGGGCCACTTAGGGATCTGGGGCAAAATCAGTACTTGGTCTGCTAGTGAAGGCAGGGGGCTGGACTCGATGACCTTTCAAGGTCCCTTCCAGTTCTAGGAGATAGGATATCTCCATTAATTTATTTTTTATTTATTTATAAACCGTTCAGACTTGTCATAGGCTTCATGACAAAAAATTTTATCACTAAATGCCAATATGGAGTTTAAAAAGCAAGATTTGGGGAATTAATGATGTAATGATTTAACAAAGCCAGCAACTTTACAAAACATTCCATACTCAATTTTGACTATGACTTTCTCAAGGCCTTAGGCATAAGCCTTTATTTTCATGGAATTAAATGGAAAATGAGTTTCTAGTTTTGAGAAGTATTTTTGACAAATATAAGATTTTTCAACATATATTTGCATTATACCCACGTGTATGCCCAACACAGTTGCTGGCCAGTGCAAGAGAAGTATAAAGGAAGAGGTCACGAGTTCCATTAAGAAATAAAGAAATAAAGAAATAAATAAAAAAAAGTATGAATACCCAAAAGCAAAGTAGTATTTACCAGCATACCTGTCTGTTTTTCGACGTACTTTTACTGATAGTCTTCAATTGTAACCTAATCCAAGCATTTTTGATCTCACATAGTTTTGAAGTACTTCAATTTTTGGAAGAGTTAGTACTGTGATTTTCCCCTCTGCAATGACTATTGATTACAGTGTAGTCAGCAGTTGGTAACTATGAAATGCCCCTTTATACTGGCAGAACAGTGCAAAGGGGCCTTAAAGTAAATGAGATTTAGACCTTATTTTTGGAATTTGACAGTAGCTATAATCGCCTGATCCAAAGCTCATTGGAGGCAGTGAGTCTTACCATTGGCTTCAATGGGATTTGGATCAGATCCCAATTCACCAGTGCAGCTCTAGCTTCCTAGAAGTAAGAAACATCTGATTGCAAAGAATATTTATGTAGCACTGTACACCTGTACCACCCACCAAAATTCTTCTTCCTAAATTCTTAAACCCTTATCTCTAGTTAGGCACCAGAATGTCTTAATTGCCCATTTGTTTCATAAAGAAATTAAGAAAGGTGATTCATGGTTGACATTACCACCTCTGCTAGTTTTCAGTCTAACACTACAAAAGCATTTAAAACCAGAGCCTCCACATCACAGTACAAGTACACTTTAGGTGGTAAAACCACCATTGACTTCAATGGGAACAGCTAAACCAATACTGAACACTTTTGAAAATCCCATCCCTTATAAGATCTACATATTTAGGCCTTGTCTACACTGGCAAGTTTCTGCACAGTGAAGCAGCTTTCTGCACTGTAACTCCCGAGGTCTACACACTGCCAAGCCACTTAGTGAGCAGAAACTGCGCAGTTGCAGCGCTGTAAAAAAAGAAAAAAAAAAAAAAAAAAGAAAAAAGAAAGACACCCCATCGAGAGGCGTACAGCTTTCTGTGCTGGGGCTACCGCGCCGCGGTGCCAGTGTAGACACCCTGATCAATTACAGCACTGCAACTGGCCTCCGGGAAGTGTCCCATAATGCCTGTTCTCACCCCTCTGGTCATCGGTTTGAACTCTACTGCCCTGCTCTCAGGTGACCAACTGTGAGCTCCACCCTGTAAATTCCTTGGTAATTTTGAAAGTCCCCTTCCTGTTTGCTCAGTGACACGTGCAGTGGTCTCAGCCCATCTTTCCAGGTGACCATGCCTGCTCACGCACCAGCCGATCCCTCACTTGGAGCAATGCCGAGCTGCTGGACCTCATCAGCATTTGGATAGAGGAGGCTGTCCAGTCCCAGCTGCACTCCAGACATAGGAATCATAATTCCTACAGACAGGTTTCACGATGCATGACAAAAAGGGGCCATGACCGAGACACACTGCAGTGCAGGAGCTGCAGAATGCCTACCACAAGGCGCGGGAGGCAAACCACTATTCCGGTGCTGAGCCCATGAGCTGCCGGTTCTACAAAGAGCTGGATACGATACTTGATGGCGACCCCACCTCCACTGCAAAGGCCACTGTGGATACTTCGGTGGCTCACGTGCCAGTCGAGAGTGGACCAAGCCCGGAGGAGGAAATCTTGGACGAGGATGTGGATGATGCAGAGGATGACTCGGAGGTCAGAGATGCATGCAGCCAGGAACTCTTCTCTACCCCGGAGGAGGCTAGTCAGTCACAGCTGTCAGAGCTTGGTGAAGTGCAAAACAGGAGAGGAGGCCCCTGGTAAGTGGCTTTGATTTGGGGAATTGCTGAAGCGAGTTGTTGGGGGCAGGAGGGTTGCAGAAAGCAGGCTTGTGTCTGTATGATGAGCACACCACCACATGCCTAGTCTGAGCGGCAGAACAGGGTGTTGATTGATTCCCTCTTCACAGGAATCTGCCGCAGAGATCTCCACAAAACTCTCATGGAGATACTGGGCAATCCGCTGCCACAAGTTCTTTGGCAGACTTGCTTTGGTTTTTGCCCCACTAAGGGTAACTTTCCCAAGCCACTCTGCCATTCCGCCGGGGGGGGGAGGGGGAGAGGACACACGCCATTGCTGCACACAGGCAAGCGGCATAAGGGCCAGGGTTTGAAAGCAATATTTATTTCATTAATTGAAAGTAAACAGAGCCCTACAAAGCAACAGGCAATTTTCTTAAACCTTCACAGTGCATCGTATGCACCAATCACAATTACCTCCTAGCATTACAAGCACTGCACTCCCGAGCATAGCAACAAATATTAGTGGCTTTCAGCTTCAAATTGCTGCCTCCAGGCATCCCTGATCTTTATGGCACCGTGCTGCACCCCTCGAATAGCCCTGGTCTCTGGCTGTTCAAATTCAGCCTCCAGGCGCTGAGCCTCAGTGGTCCCGCCCTGAGTGAAGCTTTCACCCTTCCCTTCACAAATATTATGGAGCGTACAGCACGCAGCTATAAGCATAGGAATATTGTCATCGGCCAGGTCCAGCCTCCCATATAGGCAGCACCAGCGGGCCTTTAAATGGCTAAAAGCACACAACAGTCATTCTGCACTTGCTCAGCCTTTTGTCGAGCCGCTCCTTGCTGCTGTCAAGGTTCCCCATGTATGACTTCATAAGCCATGTCACTAAAGGTTAGGCAGGGTCTCCCAGGATCACAAGGGACATTTCGACTTCCCCTACGGTGATCTTCTGGTCTGGGAAGAAAGTACCTGCTTGCAGCTTCCGAAGAGGCCAGTGTTCCGAAAGATGCGTGCATCATGCACCTTTCTGGATCAGCCTGCGTTAATGTCCGTGAAATGCCCACGGTTATCCACAAGCGTCCAGAGAACCATAGAGAAATATCCCTTCAGATTAACGTACTCTGTGGCTAGGTCATCTGGTGCCAGAATTGGAATATGAGTGCCACCTATTCCCCCCCACCCCGTTAGGGAAGCCCATTTGTGCAAAGCCATCCACAATGTCACGCACATTGCCCAGAGTCACGGTCTTTCAGAGCAAGTCCAACAGTCGAACTGATTAGCGACCGATCGGTAGCAGTCTGGAGTAGCCAGCTTCCACAGTGCAATCACCATGCACTTCTCCAACAACAGGGCAGCTCTCATTCTCGTGTCCTTGTGCTGAAGGGCTGGTGACAGCTCATCACACAGTCTCATGAATGTGGCTTTCCTCATCCGAAAGTTCTGCAGCCACTGCTCGTCATCCCAGACGTGCATCACAATGTGATCCCACCACTCCTCAGTGCTTGTTTCCCGAGCCCAAAAGCGGCATTCCACTGTGGTCAGCACCTCCGTGAACGCCAGAAGAAATCTCGTGTCGTAGCTACTACGCGTGGCGAGATCAATGTCACACTCCTCTTGCCTTTGTAGTTTAAGGAATAACTCCACTGCCACTTGTGACGTTTAGTGAGAGCGAGCAGCATATTGGTCAACAGTGCGGGATCCATTCCTGCAGACCGAAGAGGCAGAGCGCACAGTACACAAACCGTTGAAAGATGACACCAAATGCAGACAAAAGGACAGGGATTGCTGTGATGCGAAGAAATGCATCACGGGTCATTAGGACAGGACCCAGGATGCCCCACAACCCCGTCCGCCTTCCCACAACAGTTAGTAGCAGAAAAGGAAGAGAGGCTCTGTTGGATAGCTGCCCAGAATGCACTGGTCCAAATACCGATGCAAGTACTGTAAGTGTGAACACGGTATTGCGCCGGCAACTGACAGTGTGAACACACAACAGCATTTCCCTTCAGCATGCTCTGAGCGGCAATGTTGCTGCCGGCGCTATAGCTCTGCCAGTGTAGACATGCCCTTAGAGTTATAGAGCTTTATGAGGAGAATGTAAATAATGGCATTGGATATTGCTGGGATCTAATTTAGGGAAGTATTTACATATTCCAAGACTACAAGAAATTACCAAAATAAAAAACCCACATTCCCTGCAAAGGCAAAGCAAAGTTTCTGACAACATATAACGATGGCCCACTTGGTGGTAATGCATTGTCCCACTATGTGAAAGACCTGGGTTTAAGAGCAAACTCTTGCAACTCCTATCCCCAAAGCCAGTGACACATGGTGAAACATACAATTCTGAAAATAAATAAGGTCATGAAAAAATTATATACAAGTTCGCATTTGACATCTCACGTTTCTAATTTTCTCTGAAATTCTATTACTGCCGTAGAAATGGTGACAATGTCTTCTTAAAAAAAAAAAAGATAAATCATAATTATCAGATGAAGAATCACTGACCTACCCGGATTTCCTGAAGGTTGTGGAAGTTATTTCCTACTCTGACAGAGATCTTGCTTGGGGTGTAGCTTTCATCAGATTTGTAATCTGCATAAATACACAATGTCTTCACTGTTGTTTTTCTTCTGTAAGCGAGAAGCAGCAAAGGCTAAGTAAGCATCCTAAGGGAAAATTATCCAAGGAAGGGTTTCTTGAGATTTTGTCAAGAATGAGATTTAAATATTTTAAAACTTGATACAAAATGTGACACTGCTGATTTTAGGACCCCTAATGCAGTAGCAGCTAGGAATTTACATATAATTTTTATAAAGTACATACATATAAAACAACTTACAATGAATAGCAAACTACACATGCCTACAGAAACGTTAGCAACCACACTGTCAACACGTCAAACAAAAAAACCCAACACAACATAAAAATTAAACAGAAGCCAATGCAAATATATCTCATCATGCACTATGGTGCCCTGTTAAGGAAAGCAGTTCTGTGAGGGAATCAACAGAGAACAGGACTCAACTGCAGAAGTCCTGACCTCAGTCTTGGGAGAAGTCAACCACGTTAATGGAGTGCAAGAGTCTTGTAGCCAGTCGTATCTGCTACAATGGAATACAGCATGAAAAGGTGTCCCAGCTTTAATTGGCAGTTAAATCAGGGCACTAAATATCATCACGCATATCTTGAACTGTAGCCAAAAGCAAACAAAAACTAGTGCAGACATATCACCCTATCTTAGAGGCTGTGATACTGTAGAGATATCCCAGCACAACACTCACCTGGCAAATGCTTAATTGGTCATTTGCTACAATAAAACTGTAAGAGTATTTATAAAACAGATTTTGCAAATGAAGTAATCTAACTGGCTCCTACCCATGTTACTAAGAGAGAGCTCAATTCTGCATTCCTTGTCAATCAGAATTTTGAATGCACTTTCTTGAGAGTTGTAATCACAATTTATTAGCCTTATCATATGCAACAAATCACACAAATATTTAGTACCTAAACTGGATGTTCACCAAATGAGGCTGTGACCCATCAGATTGCCAGTAAGTTTCTAGATTATCATCTCGTAACTGGTCCACTCCGAAGCCTAATGGAAAGAAAAAGGTTTACAGTCTCCTGTATTGTATTCCACTGCTGCTGGTATTACACAAATCATTTCAGCAGGATGGCTACCATGACCCTTGTAACGCAAGTTCACACATGTGAGAAGTACTTCTAGCCATTCAAGTTTTCAGATCTCTTTATTAAGCAAAATGCATGCAGAAGAGCTTATTCTTATAAACCCAATCCCAAATTGTGCTGAGCATCCTCAACTCTTATTGAAACCAATGGGAATTTAAAAAATTCAGCATATCCCTGAATTAAGTCCCAAATCTGCAGATTACTGTTCTATTTTTTCCAACATCCAGAATTGTGCTAAACCTTTTACAGAACATAATAAAAGAGGAGGTCTGTCTGGCAAAGATTATAAACAATACTGTAAAGTTCTATTTGCAAAACAGAACTTGGAACTCTTAGCCACAAGCTTCACTAAAACTCAGTGAGAGTTTAAAAAAAAAAAAATATGGTGTTAGTTGTCACTTCCATTCACATTTCCAAAGAAAGATGCCAGAATTCTGATAAACCAAGTAAGATCTGCAACAAAGATTAATGTAAAGCACTTGGCCCACTTTTGTTGTTAGAACTCTCCTTGTAAATTTCTGATATGTTCCCAGCTGTGCTCTGCAAGTATTTTGCAGACAGGCTCTTATATTCTGTAGTACTTTACATGGGGGGGGGGGGGGGGGAAGATAATCTAATTTTAACATTATAATCAGTTAAAATATTTTTAAGGGATCCTTATATTTAGGGCCTTTTTTATTTGAAAAAGCCTGAAACACTCTGTAAAAGCAATAACACTTTAATAGTGCAGTTATACTGGATACCTGTGCTGCTTGGGTGGTGGAAGGTGTGTGGCCAGACTGCACCCAAAGTATGCTATTATGAAACACACAACACTTGATATGTTTTAACAAGCTGTAAGTGTCCTGGTTATTCGTGTTCTCTATCCCAAGGCTCCACCTTGAAAAGTAAGAGGATCTGACTAAGGAATAACCTCACTGGGGACATCCACTACAGTTCCTGTGGCTGTATTTGGGTTTAGAGTAAGACAGAAAGGTGCTATAGAAGAACAATTATTACGGTTATCCTTGGCCACTTTAACCTCCCTCCTTCATATTACTCTCCTCCTGGCCCCCGTATTTTGTTGTTTTATAAATACACCTCTACCCCGATATAACGCTGTCCTCGGGAGCCAAAAAATCTTACTGCGTTATAGGTGAAACCGCGTTATATTGAACTTGCTTTGATCCGCCGGAGCGTGCAGCTTTACCGCGTTATATCTGAATTCGTGTTATATAGGGTCGCGTTATATCGGGGTAGAGGTGTAGTAGGTATTTCTGAGGTAGTGGGCCAAAATTACTTTAAATTGTTGTTTATTATGGGTCTGATCCTAAAAACCCTGAGTGGAATAGTACCAATAAAGTCAAAGGGAGTACCCATGTAAATGAGTGACAACTACATGCATGAATGCTTACAGGATTGAGCTCTATACACGTATAATACACCAGATACAATTACATAAAGGAACCATTGTAAAACTAACATAAAACAGAATAGTTTGCCATGTTACTATACCTGATTTTTCAGGTCATTCATCTATTTTGTAATCAAAAGGCTAACCTTTACTTAATCATTATTTTAAGTAATGATAATATACTTTATAATAATAAAATGCCAGACAAACAACTTTAATACTTAACTATATAATATTTTTAAAAATAAAGAAACTTTACTCTTTTGGATAAGCTGTCTACTGAATGAAAGTACACAACTGGGAGACTCCTCAAGTACACGTTTCTCTGGCAATACTTTTATTCACTGACATTATCTCTTAAATGAAGGAAGTCTAAATCTTATGATTTTTGTTTTATACCAGTCATGATTATTTGTCCCTTACCATTGCCAACCCTTTGCTACTCTTTCCCTCTTTTACTGCCATTCAACCTATTAACTTCATCCCCTTTGCTACTCCCCCACATTAGCTACAGTTCAGTTAGTTAGTGTTAGTAGCTCCATCTGCAATAAATAGTGAATATTAATAATCCAAATCTAAAAGTACATTGTGTTAACCAAAACAGAAATATATATGTGGACATCCGATCAGGAATGCTCAACCTGAGCACAGTCTCATAACCTACAATGACCCCTGTTCCCACACCTGTTGAAAATTGATTTAATTATTTTCTGACAGATATCTATGTAGCAGGGACTTGAATATGTCCAACAAACACAATATGGTCAAAGAGCTACTCTTGCTTGGGAGACATGGTCAAAACCATTGTATCTCCATTGAAGATTATTGTTTTATCTTGCTCATAGCATTTAGAGTACCGCACTATAATGGCACGCCTACCCTTAAGTGTTGCTGCTATGTCAGCTGGGGATAGTTTTTTTTTTTTAAATTACATAGCTATGTTGGCAAAAGCCCCAATGTTGACACAATAATACTGGCAAAATACACCTCTACCTCAATATAACGCTGTCCTCGGGAACCAAAAAATCTTACCGCGTTATAGGTGAAACCGCGTTCTATCGAACTTGCTTTGATCCACCGGAGTGTGCAGCCCTCCCCAGAGCACTGCTTTACCGCGTTATATCCGAATTCGTGTTATATCGGGTCGCGTTATATTGGAGTAGAGGTGTACTACTTTTGACAGTAGAGTTTATTTCATTCTCTGAACAGGTATAAGCTATACTTGGAAAAGCACATTTCTGCCAGAATAACTGTCTACACTAGGAGGGTTTTTTGGGTATAGCTATCCTAGCAAACTATTTCTACGTTAGACTAGACCCAAGTTATTTCTAATGGACTGTAATACAATGTATGCTTAATTCATTTTTATGTCACTTTTATGTATTCTTTATTCACTTGAAGATAAGAAACAGAGGAAATAACAGTGATCATTTGCTGATTTATCTAGTTTATAAATTAATACTAGCTTATTTATGTGCAATTTCATCATCATACAATTTTAGCAAGGTCAAAAAGATTTTATTCTCCTCAAAGGAAAAAACCCTCCCTGAATTTCACAATTATTTGTTTGTTTTGTTGTGTTTTACAATTTACCTGGCTTACAGGATGAAAGGGACCAAACAGCTTGAGAGCCTATTTCCCGAACAGTACCAGTCCTTTCCAACTGCTTGGGATCAGCACCTGGTGGTGTCTTGTTAGGTGTGGTCATTTCCCACTAATAAAAGAAGAAAAGATGGAGCATAAGATTATAAGGTTCTCTCTCGTGCTCATCTTGATGAGAAAAATAGATTTTGAGCCGCTCAGCTAAGAGTTTTACACTGTCAGTTCCTAGAAATACACATAAGAATAAGGTTTATTTCTTTAACAACCTTCATGGAGCATGCAAAAGTCTCATGTTCATAAGAATATTTATCAAATGCCATTTTATGTGCATTATCTGTCTCTTCATCTCTCTTGTTGAAGTTATTCCACTTTGTATAAAATACCTAGATAGTCACCGGGCCAGAGAACAAGAATGACTATTACATGTGGGAGGTGGGAGACCCAAGTTCAAGTCCCTGCTCCAATGAATATTTATACAAAGCCAAACAAAAGCTTCAAAAACAGGAGAGACGGAGAAACACACACCCCAGAATACCCTCTATGCCTAGGTCTCCCACATCTAGAGTAGAGATCTGAACCCAAGTCTCCCCTCTCCCAAGTGAGTGCCCTAACCACAGGGCTACACATTGTAAGGTGGGCGCCACCACCATCTCCCCTACTTTGTGGAACTACCTTTTAAAAATACCTGGAAAGAAAATGTTTTGGTTGAATGATGTGTTTTGAAAACAGACTTTTTCAATTGAGGGAAATTATTTGGAAGTTTTGTATTTGGTTTAGGTCAAACCGCATATGATTTTTTGGAACCATCAGCGAATCAAAAAATCAGTTGTTCGCCCAGCTCTACTAATGACCACAGTAAATACCTTTATTTCACAGGCACAATAACATCTACGGTTAAAGGTGGCATGAACATCTCTCTTCTAAGGAGTCAATTTCAATTGCTTCTAATTTTATTATCATCTTTTGGTAGGCTTGTTCTGAGCCCAGGAGGGGACCTTTTTGAAAATCTAAGCAAAGAGTTCATCCGTATTTGAGAATAAAAAGCATGGTGGACAAAATGCATCTTATGTGCTGCAACTTTTTCTTAAAAAGAGTAAAAGGAAATCTTCCCTCCTCCCCATAGCAGCTCACCAGTCTGATGTAGAAATCTAAAGTTAGGCAAGGAGGTAGTCTAGATCACAGATGTGCCTTTTCATGGTCTGTGCAAACGAGGTTATTTTGTAAATGGTTATTTGGGGGCGGGGGGGATGGGGTGAAAAGGACTTTTTGCATGCATACTCAATTTTGTAACGTGATCCCTTAACAGAGTATCAATATTCTATTGGTTCTAAGCGGGCATCTGTAGATTAGGAAAATTCATAAAGGTATACTGCCTTCTCCCATATAAGAGCATAAGAATGGCCCTACTGGGTCAGACCAAGGGTCCATCTAGCCCAGTATCCTGTCTTCCGACAGTGGACAGTGCCAGGTTCCCCAGAGGGAATGAACAGAACAGGTAATCACCAAGTGATCCATCCCCTGTCGTTCATTCCCAGCTTCTGGCAAACAGAGGCTAGGGACATCATTCCTGGCCATCCTGGCTAATAGCCATTGATGGACCTATCCTCCATGAATTTATCTAGTTCTTTTTTGAAACCTGTTATGGTCTTGGCCTTCATAACATCCTCTGGCAAAGAGTTCCACAGGTTGACTGTGCATTGTGTGAAGAAATACTTCCTTTTGTTCGTTTTAAACCTGCTGCCTATTCATTTGGTGACCCCCTAGTTCTTGTTATGAGAAGTAGTAAACACCACTTCCTTATCTACTTTCTGTACACCAGTCATGATTTTATAGACCTCAATCATATCACCCCATGTCTCTTTTCCAAGCTGAAAAGTCCCAGTCTTATTAATCTCGCCTCATATGGAAGCCGTTCCATACTGCTAATAATTTTTGTTGCCCTTTTCTGAACCTTTTCCAATTCCAAGGTATCTGTTTTGAGATGGGGCGACCACATCTGCACACAGTATTCAAGATGTGGGCGTACCATGAATTTATATAGAGGCAACATGATATTATCTGTCATATTATCTATTCTTTCTTAATTACTCCCAGCATTCTGTTCACTTTTTTGACTGCCGCTGCACACTGAGTGGATGTTTTCAGAGAACTATCCACAAGGACTCCAAGATCACTTTCTTGAGCGGTAACGCCATCATTTTATATGTATAGTTGGGATTATGCTTTCCAATGTGCATTACTTTGCATTTATCAACATTAAATTTAATCTGCCATTTTGTTGCCCAGTCACCCAGTTTTGAGAGATCCTTTTGTAGCTCTTCACAGTCTGCCTGGGTTTTAACGGTCTTTAGTAATTTTGTATCATCTGCAAATTTTGCCACCTCACTATTTACCCCTTTTTCCAGTTCATTTATGAACATGTTGAATAGGACTGGTCCCAGAACAGACCCCTGGGGGACACCTTTACCTCTCTCTATTCTGAAAACTGACATTTATACCTACCCTTTATTTCCTATCTTTCAACCAGTTACCAATCCATGAGAGGACCTTCCCTCTTATCCCATGGCAGCTTACTTTGCGTAAGAGCCTTTGGTGAGGGACCTTGTCAAAGGCTTTCTGAAAATATAAGTTCACTATATCCACTGATGCATGCAAGGCTGTGCATGAAATGGCACATATGCAGCTGCCTTGTTATCTACACATACTGAACAGGTACTTATTCGCCCCATCACTATAGTATCTGAACTCACAATCTTTAATCTATTTATCCTCAACATCCCAGTGAGGTAGGGAATTGCTATTAACCCTAATTTGCAGATAGGTCAGAGACAGGAAGTGACTTGCCCAAGATTATACAGCAAGTCTGTTGCAGAGGATGGAACTGAAGAAACCAGGTCTCTCAAGTCTTAAGCTAATGCCCTGTGATTCCACTCACTCACTCACTCTCTCTCTCTCTCTCTCACACACACACACACACACACCCCTTTCAACTTTTATCTGTTTTAATTGCTTCCTTTTCCCTCATGTTAACTTTTATTGTAGTTCAATTCCCTCAAACGTTCCTATATTAGATACTAATGCAGTTTATAATTTGCTCACCAACAGATCAAACGATTATATTACCTCTGTTTTTTAACTTTGTCATTATTTGTTTAAAACAGCTACTTTAAAAGTAATATCTAGTTTTTCCCTACTGCTTCAGTAACCATAACAATTTTAAGAATCATTTGCTGGGATTAATTATCTAATTATAGCAGAATGGAAAAAAATTGACGGAGACCTTTAAGTTGCATTAATTACCATCACTGGAATAATTTTTAATCTAATGAAAGCAAAAAAAATTTCCAATTCCTCAGATCTTGTTTCCAAATTGTTTGATGGTTTTGAAGATTTTAGCCAGTCCTGAAGAATTACAGGATATCTGTGGTCTGCGACCAATAGTTTTTCTTTTTACTAATCATAAATTGAATTTTTGATTCTTACACATTGATGGAAGAGAGAAGTTTTTCCTGGCTTCATGAATCTTGAATAATGTACTGTCTACTAACTAGACCAAGGTCACAGAACATTTAGTTGCTTGTGTCACGGCAAAAAATATAGTAGATGAAATTTTAAATACACTTTGCAGATTCTCACATTTATACAGAGACCAACCTTGCCACCCTCTCCCACCTAGTCACAATTAATGTAACAGTTTGGGACACAACACAGCTTCGCTCCACCAAAGAAAATTATATCAGTGTACTCCAATTTACAAGAGCTATTATCATGTTAGCTTTAAACATAGTCTCTAACAAAACCTCACATTCTTAATTTTTTTAATAATAAGTTCCCTTCTTGAAGTAAAAGGAAACCCCATAGTTTCCACAGGCAAATCTCCACTTGTACAGATACCTTTGCTTTTCCTTCCAGTGGTCATGTTTTCTGTTTAAAAGTGAGCTATAAACCCCTTAAACAAGCAGAAGAAATCACTTTGCAAATGTGGACTATTTCAAGGAGACGGATAAACATATTCCAGACACTCATTCATTCTAGAGACTTTCCAGCAGAATTCTAAAGTACGGTATTTAAAAATCACTTCTTCCTGAAATTTTCCCAGAGTTTGTTGTTGATGTCTGAAATTACATTACAATCTCAAAGCCACAACTTTGAAATTTCTCACAAGACTCAGACTACAGAAAACCCCAAAACAAGGTAACATTGAAAACTAAAAAAGCAATTATTTGGCTATATTTTCATAAGAATTTATGTTTATCATCTACTGTGGCCCTGACCTAGCAAAGGCATACTTTACACATTGTGAGTAGTCCCATTGACTTTGGCCTTGGCTACATTTGCGAGTTACAGCGCTGTAAAGCCACCCCCAGCGCTGTAACTCACTCCCCGTGCACACTGGCAAAGCATTTGCAGCGCTGTATCTCCGGGGTTGCAGCGCTGCATGTACTCCACGTCCCCGAGAGGAATAGCGAGTATTGTGCTGCCGCTGCAGTGCTGCGGTGCCAGTGTGGGACAGTGTTCAGTGTAGGTGCCCCCTGAAGCTGTTGGCTCTCCCCAAGGCACAGAAACCCAGAGGACAGTGCAGCCCTGAAACAATCAGTCCCCCTTACTCACCATTTTGAGGCTCCCGTGGGATGTGTGTGCTCTGTTTCGGATGGGAAAATTATGCTATTGTGTAGACCCTGTGTGTTTTCTACTCCTTAAGTGCGGGGGGAACCATTACTCTGTCTGGTATAAACAATGCTGCCTCTGTTAAGTGTTGCATTTTGCCTATACAGCTGCATCAACCTTGAGACCTCAGCCGTCCCTCTTATCGCCTGCTCAGAGACTGCAAAGACTCAGGAAGAGACTGCGAAAAAGCAAAGACATGCTGCAAGAAGTGATGCGGCAATCTATTAAAGAGAATGAGAAAGCACAGGACTGGAGGGAGAGAGAAAGCAGGATCCGCCAGGAAAATGCAGCGCACCGGCAGCAAAGCACCGAGCACCGGCAGCAAAGCACAGATCGGCTCATAAGCATCCTGGAGCGCCAAGCAGACGCTATCCAGGAGCTCATAGCCATGCAAAAACAGGAGCAGTACCGCAAACGCGACACACCCCCCCTACAGCCCTTGTCCCAAAACTCTTTCCGTTGTGCCCCACTGTCACCTCCAACCCACTTTCCCCAACTTCCGTGTTCTTCACGCCACCCGCTGCCTCCAACACCAGTATCTTCACCACCCAGCCCTGAAAACCACGACCCTTACCCTCTGCACTCAACCCCCGTCACCATGCAGTATAGCTATCCTGAAGTGCAGCACTCACTGCACAGCACACCAGACAGGACATACGCGAATCTGTTCTGCAGCCACTGCTCGTCATCCCAGACTTCCATGACGATGTGATCCCACTACTCGGTGCTTGTTTCCCGAGACCAAAAGCGGCGTTCCATGGTGCTGAGCATGTCTGTGAATGCCACAAGCAATTTCGTGTCGTACGAGTTATGCGGCTCGATAGCATCGTCGGATTCCTCACTCTCATTTTGGATCTTAAGGAATAGTTCGACAGCCAAACGTGACGTGCTGGCGAGACTCGTCAGCATACGCCTCAACAGTTTGGGCTCCATTTCCCGCAGACAGATCGCGCTGCACAGAAACTGTTGAAAGTTGGCGCCAAAGGTGGACGGAAACAAAGGGATTTCTGGGATGTGAAGCGATGAATCACGGGGTGTTGGGACAGGACCCAGAATGCCCGGCACCTACGCCCCCTTCCCACAACCCACGGCGCCAGAATGGGAAGAGGTGCTCTGTGGGATAGCTGCCCATAATGCACCGCTCCCAATAGCGCTGCAATTGCCGCAAATGTGGCCACGACAGCGCGCTGGGCAGCTGTCAGTGTGGACAGACTGCAGCACTTTCCCTACTCAGCTGCACGAAGTCAGGTTTAACTCACAGTGCTGTACATCTGCAAGTGTAGCCAAGGCCTTTGATGCATAAGTCTTGGCAGGATTGGAGCATGAAAAGTCAGACACAACTTCTATTTTCCCCCCTGCCCCCCCATCTCCCCTCCAGATCTGCTACAGCCCTTTCCAGCTCCTAACCCTATATATCTTGACATCTTTATGAAGAGAGGACTGCAGAATATAAAATTCCAAGTTGCTTAAAATACCATGCAAGAATATGCAGAAAGATAGGACCAAGAAAGCTTTACCATTTACTCAGACAAGAGGTATGGGTGAACTGCTCAGGTGCAATTATCCTAAACTTCTGAGGTATGGGTGTTCAGCACCCTAAGTGAAAAAGAATTAACACCCAATACAGATCTAAAGCATATTGTGAAAGATCAAAGGTTCTTCTGCAACCACCAGAATACTAAAGATTGGTTGTCTGAAAAACAATTGATGCCCAAGCCTCCCAAGAACACTTGGTAAAAGTCTCAAAAAAGACTCTCTACATTTTCAACCAATAAGTATGATATTTGCAGTGACAATGAGGAAGATTTTGATCAAACATATTTTACACAAGGGGTTCTGAAGAGAGACATCAAATTTACAAAAGCAATTAAAGATTTCAAAGCAGGATTATCAGATGATAGTACAATGGCAATATTGTTGCATTCTCAGTAAAGATCTGGCTTGATCTAATTAATAAACAACTGGAGCCACACAAGTATAAAATATAAAATAATAGCCATTCAGAGAAGCTATGGAACTTTTCCCAAAACTAAGCCAGCATGATTGACCCCAAATACAAAGGTTAGGGTCAGAAAATGAAGAAGAGGCTAAAATGTGGCCATTGCAATATAAACCTGAATGACTTCCCTTCTAGCACAAAGGGTTGTTGAAGACCCAGATGTCCAAATCTAGGATTGCAAAAGAGATTGCCACAGTCCACTGCACTAAAATGGTGAGAAAATATACCGGAAAATCATTGACAATAGAATGGCTGAATTCAGAATGTTGTCACTTTTTATGAGCTGCATTCTGTCCAACCAGTTCAGCATCTATACAGCACATTTTTAATCACATTCTGATTGGTTTGTTTGGAGCTTCATAATAGGGTAGGTGCCTGAAAAGTAATCAAGTGGTAAGAGCACATTAGTGTGTAAAGGCAAATACAAAAGAGTTGTAGGCCTGCAAAGTGAAAACTTGATTAATGGGTTCTTGTATTTTATTTACAGATTTGCAAGTTATTCATTGTGAGTAATGTGCGTCTATTTCTGAATAATAAATATTCTTACCAAGTGATGTTTTCAGATCAAATGTTTTAAGAAACCATCATAATTCTTTTGGGGTGAGGGAAAATCGCAAGGTAAGAGTAATTTCCACTTCTTTCTTCCCTGGGTTATGGAAAAATCACAATTAATCTGGCTGGAAATCGCTTCCTCTCCTCTCCCTGTATGGCTCAGACCTTAGCAAAAGGGAGGAGGGGAATGCTTCCAGCTGAAATTTCTAGGGAGGCATCTTCTCCATCTAGCAAACCCCTAATACCACCAGATCATCTTTAAGTTTCTAGTGATAGCATTACAACCTTGAAATTTAACAATTTAGCTTCTAAATGGCATTAAACTGTACATAAAAGGATTTTTTCCGTACAACACCACCCCCTCCACCTCTCATTTCCTCCCTTTGTGCTATTCCACAGCAACCTGATGGCAACACAATTCACCGGGGGAAAAAACAACAAGGAGTCTGGTGGCACCTTAAAGACTAACAGATTTATTTGGGCATAAGCTTTCATGGGTAAAAAACCATGGACTCCATGCATCTGAAGAAGTGGGTTTTTTACCCACGAAAGCTTATGCCCAAATAAATCTGTTAGTCTTTAAGGTGCCACCAGACTCCTTGTTGTTTTTGTAGATACAGACTAACACGGCTACCCCCGATACTTGACACCGGGGGAAAGACACCTCGGTGTACTCTTGGCCAAGACTAAGAAGGGTATGTATTTTCCAGAAACTTGTAAAGTCTAAGGAGAGGGCTGAAGGGTAAAGGAGTTCTCTTCTCTTTGGGATGTCTCCATGAAGTTACCCAAACAGCAGTAATCTTAATAAATATGAGATTTATTAACAAAGAAAATGGAATTAAAATAAAATGAATGGCTTAACATATCTAGACTTATACTTTTCATAAGATAAACTAGATAAGGCATTCTTAGCTTAGCTACAGAGGACAAAGGGAAAAAAAGGAAAGAATACTTTGACTACTCTAGTCTGCCCATCAGACCATACTGCTGTCTACAGACAGATGTATCTCTCTTGATACTCATTGTCAAGCCCCAATCAGATATAGGGATAATAACTGTTTTCCCAAATAATTTTCTCCTCTTACAACCCCATCCCAACCCAGAGTTTTGAACTCACTGCTTTCTCCAAGAGTTTGTCTACACACTGCTTTTATACTACTTCAAATACATTAGTCTGAAACCTATATAGTTAAAGTGGTTCAACCATCTAGTGTTGACACAGTTATATCATTATGCAGTGCTTATACCACTATCGTTTATTCCCCTAAACGTAAAGGAATAAGCTATACTGCTGTAATTGCTTGTACATTAGGGGTTGTACCAATAATTATTTTGGTTAAAATTAAATACATACACTCCTGACCAAAACTTAAAATCAGTGCAAGAATTGCAAACTTATATTAGGCCTAAGAGATAGGCCACTGAAAACAAAGGGATCACGTACACTGCCCTGTAGTTTGGACTACCTTGATGTGAAAAGCAGTGCATACCAAAGTGCTGCACTGTAACTCCCCTGTGTGGAAGGAAACTGAAAGGTTTCTAGTACAGTCCTCCTCAAAAAGGACTATGTTAATATGAACTAGGAGCCTTTTAGTTCATGCCTGCAGCATTCCACACAGGGAAGTTACACTTTGTTGTGCACTGCTGTTCACTGTAGTTTCAACTGCGGGGCAGCAGAGACATAGCAAAAATCTCATTAACAACAATTCACAATAGGCTTAACAACCTAGCACAGGCTTAAAGGCCTAAAGGCTTAACAACCTAGCACAGATACCAGTTTTGAGGGACCACTCTGGCCAGTCATATCTAGTTTAGGTCAGGCTTCTTTACAACTCCACCAAGATACTATTTACTTTACTAAAAAATATAATTATGGGTGGGTCCCCAGGCCCTCCATCACATTCATGATAAGGGGATTTGAAATTAAATAGTTTAGCCAATCTTCAAGCCATATCAGGTTTGTGGATTCCTGACAGCCTGACCATGTTTCGCTCCTACACGCAATCTGGCAAAGTTACTAAGATAAAAACTACGCCACATTTTGGGAAGTGTAAAAATAGTACCAATATACAAAATAAACCCCTAAATCTAGTCAACACAGCCAATTAACTGTATCCAAACTCAGCTGTGCAAAGGGAGCGGGGAGGGACAGTTTGTTCAGGTGATGTAACCAGACTCGCATACTTTTGGCTTAAGAGAGAGGACTGATATGTAGATACAGACTTTCTGACCCTAACCCCATGTCAGTGGTTTATGAAATATAAGGGTCCCCTCAGAGCGGAGTCTGACACACCGAGAGGTGCACCTAGCAAAAGCCACCCTGTACGGGGGTGCTTGCTGGCGGATCCGAGAAAGGCCTGAACGAGCCATGGAGAAGGGGCTTCGCTCTCACTCCAGTCAGCGGGGTCTCAGGCCGGCGGCCCCGTGCGGGGAAGCGGGCACTGCCCGTACCTGTGCAGTAGCCAGACAGAGGCGCAGGTGCCGGCTGTGGCGGTGCCAGGTCTCAGCACCACTAGGGCCCCTGAGAAACCAGGAGCGATGAATTCACCTTCCAAACAGAGACTCTCGGGGCTCGGGCCACCAGCTGCCACCGCTCCCTGCTGGGCCCCGCTGGCCACAGCACATGGACCCCGCCACCGCCTGCTCCGCGCGCGCCCTGCTGCGGGGCCCGCCCCTTGCTACGGAGCGGGAGGGGGAATATGGGAGACAATCTGCCCGGAGGAGAAGGAGGAGGGGACACTCACGTTACAGCCTCCCCGCCCACTCCGCAGCTCACTTTCCGCTCCGTCCCCCAGCGATGACGTCACACAACAGCCGCGTCCTGAAGCGTCTCCGAAACTATCTTAGCCACGCCCTTGCCCTGAGGCGTCGCGCTCTTTTAGCGCCCACCTGTTCTCTATGGTGAGCGTCTCTTCCCCTCCCTCCTCGCGTCTCTATGGTTAGTAGCTCTAGCTCCTCTCTGGGGGTGGCGGCCATTTTGGCCGGGTGGCAGTAGGAGCACGTTGTGTGTCTGCCTGCGAGTGACGGGACCAGGCTCGTCCCCTACCCACCTACTCGCCCTGGCCGTTTGGTTTCCTTCCCGCCCTCAGGTAAGTGGAGTCAATAGCGGGGCTGGGGGGTGCGGCACGAGCCCTGGGGAGACCCATTCCCCGGCCAGGGCCAGGCGGCGCCGAGTCCTTGCACCAGCTGGTACCGGCGAGAGGCGCCGCGTCTACGACAGAGCAGGAACAACCCCCGAGCGGGGTCCGGCAGCCGCCTGGCTCTCCCCGGGGTGGGGGGAGGGCTCGTGTTTACGCGATACCTCCCTCGCCGGGTGCTGTTAGTAGAGCTCCTCCCTTAGCCCGGGAGGGGTGCGAGGTCCCGGCCCCCTCCTAGGGTGACCAGATGTCCCGATTTTATAGGGACAGTCCCGATTTTGGGGTCTTTTTCTTATATGGGCTCCTATTGCCCCCCACCCCCTGTCCCGATTTTTCACACTTGCTGTCTGGTCACCCTCCCTCTGCTGTTTAGAGCCCCCACCCAGTTGCTGCGGTATTGGGGCCTAGATCCCCCCCCTTCGGTACTGAATGTGTATGGGGGCACCAAACACGCAGCTCCATTGGCTTGTCAGACCATAGCCTCCCCAGTGGCAACAGTGGGGATCCCCCACACACACTCTTGTTGGGTGATAGACCCCCCCCACCTACTCTGCCACGGGGAGAGGCCCCGATGCCCCAGTTTGCATCTGATGGTGCCTTTGGCAAGGTGAGTCAATCTCTGTGTGCTCTAGTTTCCCCATCTGTAGAATGGACACTAATAGTCACATCAGGCTTTTGTGGTGAGAATAAGTTGATGTTTGTAAAGTTTACTTGGATGGTAAGTGGACTGCAGTGAAGTGCAAAGGATTATTTTTACTGTTGCCTGGCTATCATAAGGGCAATATTCACATAGGAAACTGGTTTGTCTTTTTCCACATGCTGTATCATTTGTGCCAGACCTCTCTATTAGGGGAGGTTGTCCCTATATTTTACAAGTAAATTTTTAGAGCCCTAGCTAAATGTCTAGTAGGAAGCTTTCCTTGCTGGGATGGTGTTTACCTGCAGAGCTATCAATTTTTGCAGAATGTGCATTTTTATTTTATTTTAAATTCTAGAACTTGTGGTTGTGAAGATAACTTTTTGATGTGACAGGTTTCAGAGTAGCAGCCATGTTAGTTTGTATCCGCAAAAAGAACAGGAGTACTTGTGGCGACTTAGAGACTGTTCTTTTTTTGATGTGAACTGATATTGTGCTGTCTGCCCACAGCCCTGGCTCATCATAGCTTTGCCATGCACCAGCAGCAGAATGAAATTGACAGCTATGTCAATTTCATTCTGCTGCTGTTGAAATGAGCAATAAAGGTAGATTCTGCAGGAACTCCATCTTAAAGGAGAGACTATCATATGTTCTTTTTCCTGTAAAAGCCACGAATCTCTAAAATGAGGAAAAGGGAGAGAAATCCTCTTTATGGGTGCATACACTCAAGGAGGAAAGATGTATTAACTAACAGAAGGTAAGACCATAGCATAAAATCCAAGCGAACAAAAGGCATTTGTAGTTTTCAGTGTTAATATTAGTGGGGAGATTAGTGTTTACCTCTACATGCTAACGTGTTAATACTACAACTCCCTTTTTTCCCCGCTATAATTTTATGTTGTGGTGTCTAACACAAGGTAAGAACACACCCTTTTCCCCAGTGAAGACAAGGCCTGGCAGTAGTAAAGGGTGGGGGCTTCAAATTTATACAGTACCTTATAGCCAGAGATTGTTATGAAAGATGGAGATCTGGCAAGCATGGTCCAGCACCCTAAGTAAGAAAGAGAGCAGTGAGATTCTTACCAACAATAGGGAAAGGCTTTGCTTCAGGACCTTTTAAAAGTGCTGTCTTATGCATCTTTAGCATATTTAGTCCTCTGATGTGTAGTTGTCTGGTAAGTCTTTTGATTCTGACATTACATTCATCACTCTTTTAATTCAAACTCTTAGTCCAAAGGAGTTAAAATGTGTCTCTCTTTTCTCCCCAAATGTATCTCTTTATAGCTTTCCTGTGCTAGCAGATATCACAATATATATATTCATCTCCTTTCCCATTCTAAGGAAATATTTGAGGATGAGGCTTCTTACATTGTATATTTTGTTGGTATATGAATGAGTCACAATTCCTATTGTTCAACACTGTCAAATAACATTGAAATAGAAATATGGATGGACATGTTTAATAATGTGATGCTACTGTCCAGTAAACAGAAAGTTGTTAACCCTTAGCCTTGAGTTCTTTGCTTCCATATGCAGAACGTGCTTCATGAGCAGTCTGTTAAGATTAAACTTAGGGCATGTCTACACTGGCAGTTTTATCGCACCGGGAGTTACAGCGCTGCTCAGAAAGCACTGAAGGGAAACAGCTGTTCTGTGTTGATACTGTCAGCTGCCTGCGCAACAGCGTGTTCACACTTGTGGCATTTGCAGCAGTATTCGGAGTGGTGCACTCTGGGCAGCTATCCCCCAAACCACCTTTTTCTCTTCTGCTGCTAAGACTTGTGGGAAAGCGAAGGGGGTTGCGGGGCATCCCAGCAATCCCTGTGCTTCCGTCTGCCTTTGACGCCGTATTTCAACTGTTTGTGTACTGTGCGCCCTGCCTCTTCGGGCTGCAGGAATGGATCCCAAACTGTTGACCAGTATGCTGCTTGCTCTGACCAACACGTCACTAGTGGCAGTGGAGTTATTCCTTAAACTACAAAAGCAAGAGGAGTGTGACATAGATCTCGCCATGCGTAGTAGCTACGGCATGAGATTGCTTGTGGCATTCACAGAGGTGCTGACCACAGTGGAACGCTGCTTTTGGGCTCGGGAAACAAGCACTGAGTGGTGGGATCACATTGTGATGTACGTCTGGGATGACGAGCAGTGGCTGCAGAATTTTCAGATGAGGAAAGCCACATTCATGAGACTGTGTAATGAGCTCTCCCCTCCCTGCAGCGCAAGGACACGGGAACAAGAGGTGCCCTGCCATTGGAGAAGTGCATGGTGATTGCACTGTGGAAGCTAGCTACTCCAGACAACTACCGATTGGTCGCTAATCAGTTCGGAGTGGGAAAGTTTACCGTTGGACTCGTGTTGACAGAAGTGTGCAGGGCCATTAATCCCATCCAGCTCCGAAAGACCGTGACGCTGGGCAACGTGCGTGACATTGTAGATGCCATTGTACAAATGGGTTTCCCTAACTGCGGAGGGGTGATGGATGTCACACACATTCCTTTTCTGGCACCAGACTACCTAGCCACAGAGTACATTAATCGCAAGGGGTATTTCTCAATGGTTCTCCAGGCACTTGTGGATAACTGTGGGCGATTCACAGACATTAACACAGGCTAGTCCAGAAAGGTGCATGACACACGCATCTTTTGGAACACTGGCCTCTTCAGGAAGCTGCAAGCAGGGACTTTCTTTCCGGACTAGATCACCATAGGGGTTCTCAAAATGGGGGTCAGGACCCCTCAGGGGGTCTCGAGGTTATTACGTGGGGGGTCGCGAGCTGTCAGCTTCCACCACAAACCCCGCTTTGCCTCCAGCATTTATAATGGCGTTAAATATATAAAAAGGTGTTTTTAATTTATTAAGGGGGTCGTACTCAGAGGCTTGCTATGTGAAAGGGGTCACCAGTACAAAAGTTTGAGAACCACTGCCAAAGGGAAGTTGAAATGCCCATTGTGATCCTGGGAGACCCCGCCTACCCCTTAATGCTGTGGCTTATGAAGCCATACACGGGGCAACTTGACAGCAGCAAGGAGCGGTTCAACAACAGGCTGACCAAGTGCAGAATGACTGTTGAGTGTGCTTTTGGCCATTTAAAAGCCTGCTGGTGCTGCCTCTGTGGGAAGCTGGACCTGGCTGATGACAATATTCCTATGCTTATAGCCGCGTGCTGTACGCCGTATAATATTTGTGAAGGGAAGGGTGAGAGCTTCACTCAGGGATGGATCGCAGAGGCTCAGCGCCTGGAGGCTGAGTTTGAACGGCCAGAGACCAGGGCTATTAGAGGGGCATAGTGCGGGGTCATAAGGATCAGGGATGCCTTGAGGCAGCAATCTGAAGCTGAAAGACACTAATATTTGTTGCTATGCTCGGGAGTGCAGTGCTTGTAATGCCAGGAGATGATTGGTGCACGTGATGCAATATGTGGGTTTAACATAATTGTATGTTGCTTTGCAGTGCTCTTTTTGCTTTCAATTAATAGAATAAAGATTGCTTTCAAACCTACTCAATTCTTGTATTAAAAGACAACTGTCAAACAAAAAAAACCGGCAGCAGTGAGGGGGATGGGGGAAGGTCCGAGGAGGAGGAGGGGTCTCGGGATAGCTTGCAATGCAGTGGGTACTGTACTTCAGCAGGACCAAACTGCAGAGGGATGGGTGTTGAGTGTAGTGATTAGTGGGAGTCTGCAGTGCTGGACTGTGAGGGGGGAACAGTGGAATGCCATGCGTACAGACTGGAGCCAGGAGGTTGATAAGTGTCTTGGTGGTGTCTGGGGGGCGCATGGGAAAGAGTTTTGCGACCGCGGCTGCAGGGGAGGGTGGGCACGGAGCTGCTCGGTTTGAAGAGCTAGTGTCGCCTGCAGCGTGTCCCCTTTGCACTCCATAACCTTTAAGAGCCGCTCCGTGGCTTCATTCTGGCGTGCCGCGTTCTCCTTTCGGTCGCTCTTCTTGCTGTCCCGCC